TGGACCACCATGTGCTGGAAAGTCCAGCTTCATCAACTCTGTTGACGCTGCGTTACGAGGGAGGATGTCAACTCGAGCTCTGGCAGAAACAAACTCCTCTGAGAGCTTCACCAAAAGAGTATGAATCAATTGTGGTTGTATCAATAAAGCAGAATATACGTTTGTTTGTTTGTTTGTTTGTTTGTTTGTTTGTTTGTTTGTTTGTTTGTTTGTTTGTTTGTTTTTAAATCTCATATACTGTTAAAGGCTTCCATGAAAATACCAAAGTTCATAAATCACTTGAGCCATATTCCAAGTATTTTCTAAAGAACTTTTTACTATCGGAGGTCGCTTCAGAATAGAGACTGAACAAATAGTCATGATATAGCTAGTGAGTAAAAAGCAAATGATAAACTGTTTAGGCTGTTATTTTGTTGGAATATTGTCATAATAATGTTTTTATTTACAGTACAGGACTTTTAAAATCCAGAAAGGAAATCCAGGGAGATTTTACCCGTTTGTCTTCAGTGACACTATGGGTCTTCAGAAGGGCTCTAACAAAGGAGTTCATGTAGAAGACATCAAACTGGTCATGAAGGGACACGTAAGAGAAGGTTACAAGGTACGAGAACTGCATTCTTTAACCTGCGTCACACAGTATTAAGTAAATACAGTGTGCACAGTGTGTACTGATTTGTGATCCGTTTCAACAACTAATGTGTTTGTTGTCCTAGAAAAACATATCAGAAATTGTTAACATGCACTTTTCTTTCCAGTTCGATCCCAGGTCCACCTTGTCTGAGAGTGATGAAAAATACAACGAATCCCCGACTCTTGATGACCAAGTTCATGTTCTGGTTTGTGTTGTTTCTGCCACCACACTGAGCCTAATGGATGACAACTCTGTGCAGAAGATAAGGGAGGTCAGAGAAGCAGCCAGTGACATCGGTGAGAGCAGATACAACAGTTTCAATAGCAGTTATAGTTTCAATTTCAAATACCAGAAAAATATTAAAATAACCCACTGTGTTGGTTTCTACTCTGTGATGGCAGGGATTCCCCAAATTGCTGTTCTCACTAAAGTTGATGAAGCCTGTCCTGAGGTCAAAAAGGATGTGAAGAATGTCTACAAGAGCAAGTACCTGAAGCAACAGGTATGTTTTAAGCTGATATTTAATGAGCTTGTGGAGAGTGTGCACATAAATGCAACATCAGTTTGACTATAATTCAGATGTACAGGGCTTAACAAATGTTTCAGACCACCACCCAGTGTCAGGTTTATGCCACAGCTGCCCTAAATTAACAGCGTTGGTAATTACCAAAATCATTGTTTATGTTTCTGTAATGTTCAATACACCAGTATGTAGAAGCTCTTTAACTGCAATGATGTTTTTAAGATGTCAAATTATAGTTATTTATTTATTTGTATTACTCAACAGAAAAAATGGTTTTAGTGGTTCAATGTTATGCTTGATTAATTTCTAACTTCTCAGGGAAGGCCAGTGAACTGGCTCAAATTTGGGTATAAAAAGATGAATTCAGTTTGAAATTCCTCATTCCTGTTCAAAATGGTGAAATGTCAAGAGCTCACTGAAAATGAAAGAGTCCACATCAAAGCACTTCATGATGCTGGATGGTCTCTGAGACAAACAGGGAAAGACATAAAGTGTTCTCACGGTGTGGTCAAGTATGCTTTGGAGTTGATTGCCGAGACTGGTACCAAGGAAAAGACAAGATACAAAAGTTAACTGAAGCAGATGTCAGACACCTCAAGATTTTAAGTACTAGAGACAGAAGGAAGACCACTGCTGGTCTTCAGGCAGAGATGAATGCTTCTAGATCAGAGTCTGAGAACGTCTCCAGAATGACCATGAGAGATTACCGATGGAACAAGGCTTAAAGGGAAGAAAAGCTGCGACGAAGACATTATTGAGGCCTGCAGACATCCAGAAATGCCTCAGATTTGCCAGGGAGCACAAACACTGGACTGTAGATGACTGGAAGAAGGTAGTCTGGACGGACGAGTCCAAGTTTGACCTCTTTGGTCAGCATTGTGGTGTTTCTGTCCTCAGAAAAGCTGGAGAACGTTTTGATGCCAGATGCATTGCACCTACAGTGAAACACGGTGGAGATTTCATGATGGTATGGGGTTCAATTTGGGGAAAGGGCGCCGTCAAATTAGTGAAATTGGACAGTATCATGAACAACAACGTCTACCACAATATCTCACTGCATCATGGAATCCCTTCTGGACTGAATCTGATTGGTTGTGGGTTCATATGCCAACAGGACATCGACCCCAAGCAGACTTCAAAGCTGTGCAGAGACTATCTGACCAAGAAAAAGGAATCTGGAGTTCTGGCCAAGTCAAAGTCTGGATTTGAATCCTATTGAACAAATTTGGGATGTAGGACATTCAAAGATTGATTGACAAAAGTTGATCAGAAGCAACTAGAAACTACTTGAAACTCAAAAACAAAACAGACTGTTGAAAAGCAGATAAAAACAATGCCAGCAGGAATGCAAGCTGATATCAAGGCCAAAGGCGGCCATAGAAAATATCTATTTTTTGGTTATTAGGTGTGAAAAAGGACTATTTAGTTGTTTGAGTTTGTTATTTGCAAAATAAATAACATTTTTAGTTTGAAACAGGTTTTCAAAAGAGTTGTAAACATTTATGGTTTCTCATGTTTATGACAGGTGGTCAAATAAATTTGTTAAGTCCTGTACATTTCAGTATGTTAACACAAAAATCTCATTTAGCGAATGTACATGTGTAATCTCAGTGATAAGGATTTGACTAAATCATTTAAAGTTGTACGTATGTTGTACACACTTACTGAGCACAACAGTCAAATGTAAGGTTTTCCAACTATTAATGACAATATTCTTTGAACTTAGGTGGACCAATTGAGTGTGATGCTGGGTTTCCCACTGAACTGCATCTTTATGGTGAAGAACTACAGCTCAGAAACCGAGACAAATGACGACACCGACACACTGATACTGAACACTCTGAGAAGGATCATTGACTGTGGAGAGGATTACCTGAATGACACAGCACCTTAAAACTACTGAGGCACATGGAAACACTTGTAAGACTACAGAAACTTCAAAGATGATTTAATTTTCTGAAGAAACATTAAACATTTTCGTAATTCCAATAAGTTACTTTTAAGGGACTTTCCGTGTTGGTTTTACTTTGTCATAATCAGAATAGTCTGGTTCATTAAGATCTTTAGCCTGGAATTTTGCTGTTTTACAAATTAGTTGGGGGGAGAGGAGGGATATATTGTATAATCTATCAGTATACCTAACAGGGTACATGCTAGATATCACGTTTTTGTCATCTATTGTCTTGCTGAATATATCCACTGTCATAGAAATCACTGAAATAAAATGTATTTGTAAAATTTCTCAATCACTGTGAAATCATCTGGAAAGACCACTGCAACCTTTGATATAAGAGCCAGTATTCATCTACTCTTTATGATGAGAAGTCACTGTGGTGTCTTTGTTTTTTTGATTCATAGCACAGCCTACAACGATAAGGAGACACATCTTGATGTTGTACATTTATGGTGGGAGCAGGGTGGCTGAAGTGACTCTGATGTGTGCAGCACCATGATTTCAATAAATATATTCACTGAAGGCAATGAAGGCGTCCAGAGAGTGTTTGTTTGTTCAGGATCAGGTATGTTGATTCAGGTCCTGCCTCACAGTCTAAGCTGCTGTTTGAAACCATGATTTTGTCAGCAAGCAGTGGAATTTCTTTGACTTAATTGCATTTGATTTCATACCTCATTAGTTAAGTGAGTCTAAATAGTTTTTACAATTGCTTTCACATAGGAGTTAAGTTTTTCACCCACTGTTAAGTTAAGTTCAGGCACCACAACTATTTGGTTAGTTATAGAAAATATCATGGTTTAGGTTATAATATAATCATAAGCCAATAAACCTCTTGGATCTTAACCATTACACAACATTTTTTACAATACATCAAGACACATACATTTTCAATACATTCATACATACATAATTTAAAACTCTGATATCTGTGACTTATATTATTTCCAACTGTTTATATTTTCCAGCCCTCTGCTGCAGCAATACATACAAGCCTGGCGCTGTACATTATTATATGGCATTAACACATTTTTAAGTGACATGGTTACGCAGACACATTGTTCAGCGTTCACACAAACATGTGTGTCCACATATTAGGTACAGATTTTGTAAACTGAACCCCATATTTGCGCCTGCCCTGCTCGGTCTCATTAGTCGAACTCTGTGGAACAGAGTTTACATGAGGGCTAAGCTAAAAACAATATTTTTAGATGCTGAGAATTAGTGAAAAAAGTTTGAAAAAGTCAAGCTCAAAATCATCTTTATGTTCATGGTGTGACTGTTCTACTATAAATTGATTGACCAAGATTTGATCGTTTCCCCATCTTTAAAGAAGTAAATAGGAACTGTCTTTAGGGGTGGCAGCATTCAAGGGAACCAAGTAATCCCCAATTAACTCTACAATCATTCAAATTACACTAAGTCCTTCAGTTAGTTTATGTATTTTGTTTAAAACCCCCAACTCTCCTTCAGCGTATATCTGCTGGACTCTTCTGCATTTAAGAGGAACATCAGAACACCTCTTTTCTCCTTGATCCCTCCGTGGCTCATTATGTTTGCGATCTACAATTTCAAGTTTATTTGATCTCTGCGCCCACTACACTGTTCGATGGGAACAAGGACATTAGCTAAAAGCCCACAATGTAGAAAGGAACCTGTACTGTTGCACTAATGGCTCTTCCCTTCCAAGAATATTTGATTTATGTCTTTAAAAGGCTGCTTGGCTTTTGGCCAAGATCATCAGATAGTTCAGCTTTCTTCACCATCAGTCACAGTGGAGCGGAGAATTTAAAATAACTTCTTGTGCTTTTTCTTAAATTAATTTACATTCCATCTACATGTGCCTTTTGTTACTAGCCATATACTCTGCTACATATAAAGAAAATCTAGATTTCTATGATATAATAATAACATAACAGCTGTCATACATTACAGCTATTGTAAAAGCTTCACTGCTATAACACCATCCACACCATTTTGTTACCTATATGACCGTACCAATGGCAACACAGCCACAAATGCTGCTTGTGCTTGCAGCTCCATCCTCAGCAGACATGCCGACGCTTTCTCTATTTTTACGAAGCCCTTCATAAAAGTTTTGGTACCATCTGGGTGGTAATAACCACAGAAGGGCACAATAAGTTGGGAGAATGTTAATGATGGTGCTGGTGACCCCAACCCGCTGCCCCTCAGAGACACTTAAAAGTCACATTCCAGTCCTTTTTTCATTTTTTTTAAACAGTACCTTCTGATTAGATCTCTCATGCCTACATGTGTTACTTGATTGGATCAGTGTTGCACTCTGACTTAGAAAAGAAAAGCAACCTTTGTTATTCAGCCACACTCGAGAGATCTACAACGAGAGCACCTTTGCCTGCAGAGATGTACTCCATCTCTGCTCTCCAGCCTTTCTTTTTCAGCCTGAGCCAGCTACAGACATTTAAAATGGTTCTAAATGTCTCATGGCAGCATTTACCAGCTGTGTAAACTGTATAGGTCAGAGTCAGCATGCCAGGAGAGTATACAAAACATACATTTACATAAATTCAGAAAGACAGATCTGATAAAGTGGGAAATTCAGACTTAGTTCAACAAAGATGCACCATAATAAATAACAGGTCACATGTGAGACTTAGGATTCTGTCTGAAGTCTTTACTAGATACCAATGTCAGAAGTAAGACATTGTGGATGTTATAAAATGTCTGAGCTCAATGTGAATCATTCCAAGGGAGCAGTTTGTTAAAAGGTCAGTCTGTAATACTGAACAGCAAAACTGTGGCAAAAAAAAGAAAGATTATGTGGAAGTAATAAAATCTGACAAGCAAGAGAGAAAGGGCAGAATAAAGCAGAATAGTGAAAAGAGTCCAACAGGACAGACAGAAATCAAATGAACCTTTGAGCATTAAGGGAATCTCCACCCTCCACTGAACTGTTGTATTCTCTTAGTCCAATGATCAGTACATTCCCAAAGTTAATTTGGGCACTCTGTACAGGTCTTGCCTGTAGCTTGTTTGAGTTGGTGGTTTTCAGCCTTTCCCAGAATGCCTTGCATCAGTAACACCCACAGAACATGCCTGGACTTGTTGGCTTCACCTTAAGCTCAATCACCAGTTGTGGATCTGCTCAGAATAAAAGCTGTGCACGCAGCTGAAACAGTCAGAAATAAGATCATACCTGTTATCAGAACATTACAGTTTAACATATGTGGACCACTGAATTTAAATCACTGTTGCATTTTACACTGAAATGGTTATCATCAAATAATGCCATTAAAACGCTACAGATTTTAATCTAAATGTTGTGCAGGGGTTTTATCCAAAAGATTACATAACTAGCAACAAGAAAAATGCATGCATTTCAAATGACACATAGAGAATAGCTTTTATTTTACTACATTTATTGAATAGGCTGTATTACTATAAATGTAAATAGTTAATAAAAAAGCGCCAGAGTGACATTATATAGGCAAAATTATTACTTGCATTGTACTTATATAAATCATTAATATACTGACTACAACTTTCTTTATTATTAAAACTCATATTTATACCACCTGTAAGGTTACTCATCTGAAATGCAGTAAGTTTTAGCTAAAAACATCACTTTACATGGAAGGTGCCTACTAACAATAGCATTACCAAGGGAAAAAGTTTGGAGGCCCAATACATGTGCATATGTGCTTTTAAATTTTTTTTTTTTTTTTAACTTAGATAATGTCAGTGATGTGTAACACAACTTCAGTTAGCTGCAGCTCACTCACCAGTGGCAAGAGCACAAAGCATGAAATTGAAAAAGCATTGTCTGCTAAAAACAAATGAAAGTGTCATCCAAACAGATTGTATTAGACTGAGCAGTGAAGAAGCAAAGGCCTGTAGTATTAAAGCTGTAAGAGGTTGAAGTTTAAATGCAACACTGTCTAACATGTGAAAACAGAATACTGCTGGAAAAGAGCCTCTGTGCCAAGTATTTAAGTATTTAACTCTGAACAAAACAACTTGGTAAACAGTTTATTCAGCTACAAGTTCTCTTTTGGTTTGAGCTGTGATGCCTCTTAATGTGGTTTGTTTAAGGCCCCAGCTCACGTCAAACATAGAATGTAATTTAAGTGGCTAATGAGGAGTGTAATGACATAATTAAGTTTGTGAGCTCAAACACAGAAAGTCAAAAACAAAAAGAAAAAGTGGATGAGACAACAAGAACACAACATACAAAAGTTGTGTTGCCTACAAGGGTGTACTCCACCTCTGTGTCCCTCTCTCTAACATAACAACACTCACAAAGTCAACCAACAGTTCATCAGTTCAATGGTCATTTGAACAATTTCTTTTTCCACCTCTGTGTCCTTTTCTCTCTCACGTAACAACACTCAAAGTCAACCAGCAGTGTCAGTCACACGTACACACAGAGCTGCCATCTCCACATCTGCACTCACACTTGTCCAACATAAGCACCATGTTTCACCCAATTGGATTTTGACATTTTGTAAGTAAGGAAACTGTTCACATTAAGGGAACTTAAATGTGAGGACACCTGGGGTCTTTCTGTGTGGAGTTTGCGCGTGGGTTCTCTCCGGGTTCTCCGACTTCCTCCCACAGTCCAAAAACATGTTGAGGTTAATTGGTGATTCTAAATTGTCTGTAGGTGTGAATGTGAGTGTGATTGGTTGTCTGTCTCTAAGTGTAGCCCTGTGATAGACTGGTTACCTGTCCAGGTGAACCTGCCTTCACCCTGAGTCACCTGGAATAGACTCCAGCCCCCCTTGACCCTCGTGAGGATTAAGCGGTGTATAGATAATGGATGGATGGATGTGTAGAACTTGGCTGACTGTTGTGCACTTGGCTGCATTCTGAGATCAGAGTGGTTTCCATACAGCTTAAAGATCTTGTTGGAGGTGACTTGGGCAGATTTGGGCTGGAAATACCCTGGGTCACAGTCCACAAATGAATTTGTAGTCCTGGCATATGATTCATCACGAGTCTGGCACTGATCAGTGAATCCTGAATGTCAAGTTAGGCTTCTGTTGGGTGAAATCATTTCTTTTCCTCAGCTTGGGCTTTAGTATGAAACTAGATAAATAGTTTCCCTATAGCCCCACTGACGTGCCTAGCAAAAGTACTCACCCCCCCTTGGAAGTTTTCCCCTTTTGTAAACTCAGATGATCTTCATTTCACTAATTGTGTGACTTTTAGCAGCAACTGACCTGTGTGGACTAAGTTAAGTCACTTAAAAGAGGGTGAATACTTATGCAATCATTTATTTTAGATTTAATATGAAATAATATTTTAATTTAATTGACATTTGTAGACATCTGTTTTCACTCTTATCGGAAAGGGTCTTTATTGTTAAATTCCCGTCGAAGAAGTCAAATTAAACTGACCATTAGGAAATGCTGAAAAGCAATAAAAGGAGACCACTTCCACGGGAGTGAAGACAGGCCATTTGTGTGGCAAACAGAAGAATTACTGGAACTAAGAAACAATCAGTAGAGATTTCAGGTCGAAGTACAGCTCTTTGTTCTATACTACAGAGCAGCTTCATCCAATCTTTCAGCTTCCCATGATTGTTTTATTCGAAGAATTTCAGAGGGTGTGAAGTAGCTCCTAATGAAGAGTTAACAATTGGAGGAAATTCATGTTGAGAATAAACCCTTTATTACCCCCTTAATCATCTCATATTTCTCTAAGGACTAGCTGGGGGTCTCACTCTTCAGGTTCGGAAGCAATACCATAAAATAATTGGAATTTTGAGGAGTATAACTTTATTTTTTTGTGACAAAGAAGGAATGCATTACAATAATCTTTTAGATAAAACATGTGATAGCTCTGAGCTGACAGCCAGCCTATAGAAACCTGCACCACATCTGTGATTGAGTCAAATCTGTGGTAACAGTCCTCTGCACTGGCTCACATTTGCACAACGTTAGGAGGCTGGTTTTGTATATTGAGGACCAGTATGCAAACACTTGGGGCTCGTCCTCAGCCAAGCTGTTTGCATACAGGGCGGGACCGTGTCTGCTGAAAAGTCACCCCTCTCTCCCTCCACCGCTTTTCGCGCTTTGGTACAGGTACTATTAGCGCCACTCGTATTATTCTCCACCCCCATTCATCGCCTCCCATCTGCTTGTTTCAGCCACAGAGCTAATTACAGCCATCCGCAGAGACAAAGGCTTATGAGGTTAAAGGTATGAATAACGGGTTTCTGGGCGCAGGGGTTTCTGCTGGACGCTGGTGTCACTGTGGGGGAAGAAGCAGCAGATAAGCCGAAACGCTCAGCTGGAAGTCAAAGATCCTCTATGAGGAAGATGAATCGCTCATTTACAAACTTTTCGGTGTTTTCAATTTATCAAAAAGTTTTGTTTTTTTTAAGTTTAAAGTCGCCAGAAAGGAACAGGAGCGGCGCTTGTTAATGTTAATATAAGTTAGGATTGAAATAAATCAAATGAGGCAACTATTGCAAAGTTATAATGTAGTTGAAAAAGTTTAATCATTGTAAGCATCCATTGTTTTCTAACTATTCCCCGAAAGCAAGAGGACTAAGCATTAGTTTTGCCCCTACTCGTTTCCACATCGCACTGACAAGCCCTTAAATTAAGTTTATTTTTTTTTAATAAATGTTTTGTACGAAGCTCCATATCTGCTTGATTTAACTTTTAACAGTGTCTCTATTATTCTAAATGGTTCTTTCTACGAAGAAAACACTATTTTAGAATTCTTTGTATGCAAAACACCTAAAAGTGCTTCTTACATAATCACAAATCTTCCCGCTGTGATTTCTGGTCCTGTACACACAAACAGCTGCGGAGTGAGGCCTCTGCATGTTTCCTCCCTCCTGGGGCTCGCACAGAGCGCGCCGGTTGCCCCGCCAACACGTCTCCGCAGGCGTGGCCGTCCGTGAACGCCCATTGGGGGAAGCTGAGGCGCGCACCCGGGCTCGACGACGCTGACTGGCTCGAGCCGTATGACGACACCAATAACCAGGGCGCTGATTGGCTGGTGGGAGGCAGCTGCCCGAGAGCGCCAGAAAACAAGCTTGAGCGGGTGATGCTCGAGTCTCTGAGGGACAGAACAGAGTGTCCGCGAACCGGACAGGACGGGACCGGAGGAGAAGCCTGAGAGGAACTGCCCGCTTATTTTGAAGAGGGAAACAAGCTGCTATGTTGGTCTGAAGAAACTACGCGCTGACAAGTGTGTAAAACCGAGCACGGAGCCGCGGTGGGACATTTCATTCATTGAGCAGCTGAGTGAGGTGAGGTCCTCTGCTTTCCCTCCAGCGGTTTCCTGCTGTCTGAGTAGCGGTATGCTGGTCAGCGGAGCTAGTTACCTTAGCTCCGTGGCTAATTACCGCTAACTTAGCCTTACTCACTATAAATAAGTCATAGTGATATAGTTATTACCCTCCACAAGCTCAACCTTAGTTAAATCGACGTGCTGATTTGTAGTAATTTGAGTAAACTGTGACCCTTTACTAAGTTCATAAGCGTTCATCTTACTACAACTTAACATAATTTACTATCACCATTTATTAATACCTTCAGATCGGACACAGCTGCAGTCCAGTAGGTTTCTTAGGATTAATCACTACTGTAAAGAGGAGGGGATGTGAGAGTGGAGGTGAGGCGCAGTTAGCCCGCTAGAGCTAGTTAGCTGATGTTCTTTGCGCCAAATTCAGCTGACCGCTGAGGTCTGAGTTTTCTGCACTGACTACTACTTCTGTAACAACACCATTAGCCCGACCAAGAATCTACCTCTGACTTTCTGTACACGGCTTTGCTTTGGATACAGTTTTCGAGATGGAAGGTGAATGCTTGGCACTGAAAGACCTCACAAGCCCCAGGAAGCATTTCACGGTGGAGCCGGAGGAGGATGGGGGCCAAAGTGAACAAAAGGTAGGCAAAGGTGGACTACTGCTTGATCTCAGGTGTGGCAGGTTTTTATCTGATGCAACTGAAAGAGAGCTGCTTAGTCAAGCTCATCAGAGAGAGGTTTTCAGGGTAATGTGGTGGCATGTTAACAGTGAGGCAGACCTAGAAGATAAGGGCTAAGGGGGGTTTCTGCTCTGATCACCAAGGTTTTCATACCGGAAAGTAGTTTGCAGGCTATAAGAATGCTAAACAAGGCCTGACGTATGAACCGATGAGTTTGCTTGAAAGGCCTTGATTTCTTATCTGAGTATTCTACTTAAATTCATCAGCGTGCCTCAGATCCCCCTCTGTCCTAGAGTCAATATTTAACTTCCTATACAGGATCTTTTAGATGAAGATTTGGGTTCATACAACAGCCGATTTAGCAAAACTACATAATGTTGCTTTGTGATGCCATGTTTTGCTTAAAAATTGCCAGTTTGGACTCCCCGAAGGAGTGTGAGCAAATGTTTGTTACCTCATTACTGCAGAATCAGGCGAACCTTCTCTAATACAGCCACATAACTGTCTACATCACAGGAAAATATGTACACGGAGAGAAGAAGATCCACGCCGCTAAAATCTGCAGAGTCCGCCGTCCCTGCTCTGCTGATAAACAGAAAAGGCGCCACCCCTGACCTGGCTCACATCACCCCCATCAAACACACCGCGCTGACTGAACCTTGGACACCCACAGCGAACCTGAAAATGCTCATCAGTGCAGCTAGCCCAGACATTCGGGACAGAGAGATGAAAAAGGTGCTGTTTAGACCAATAGAGAATGATAAAGACAAGCCGGCGATCCCAGACACTGTGGTGGACGATGCAGAGGTGGACGACTCATGTCAGGTGCGTGATGTGTGTAATTTCAATAGCTGCCAAAAGATAGTAAAGGCTATGTTGTATGATTTAAAACACACCTTTTTCTAGATGGTCTCTAAAATAGCCATCAAGGGATTTATTTCAAGTTCTCGGTTTAGAAATGTCTCATTCTTGTTTAGCCCACTGAGCAAAGAACTGCAGTTATTGTTTCTTTTGAAAATATGTTTTTAGAAACTGTGGGAGTTTATTGAACATATATACTCTTAAAGAAGCGTTACAGAGCAGTAATTAAAGTTTATTGACTGAGATGTGTGATTTCATGCAACCTTCAACAACCTTATTAACTGTAACCCTGGATGATGGTGACACACAAGGCAAAACCCTTCAGCTGTAAAATTAGTAGTAAAACATCAGGCTCATTGCTCAACATGCATTTCTCTGTCTGTGCAGTTTGAAGCCGTGGATGGAGAAGATGATGCAGAGAAAAAGCCAAGCAGGAAACAGAAGAGTCTGGGTCTGCTTTGCCAAAAGTTCCTGGCCCTCTACCCCGATTACCCACCGCTTCACAGCCCCATCTGGATCTCACTGGATGAGGTGGCGAACAGTCTGGGTAAGAACCAGAGAAAGAGGTCGAACAGTGGGGGGATATTGATGACTGTAATTAGTCCTAAGTCGTGCCTGTTGTAAACACCTCATGGGAGAAGATAATGGAGGCAGCTAATCTGTGTTTCATGAGCATTATAAAGTTTTATGTTAGTACATTTCGGGGTGGTTGCTATGGAGACCTAGTTTTAATACAAACATGTCGTTGCATATTTATTGGAGGGGTGCTGAGCTGAAAGGATCTTGAGAGCATCTTTAATGCTGACCATTTGCTGGGTTGTTACTCACATGCGAGCAGAGATTTCAGAGGAACATGTGTGTCATGTCTCCACTCTCTCACACTTGTCAGGAGTGGAGCGGCGGCGCATCTACGACATCGTCAACGTGTTAGAGTCTCTCACAATAGTGGGCCGGATAGCAAAGAACAGCTACACCTGGTACGGTCGCCAGCGGCTGGAGGCAACGCTGGAGGAGCTGCAGCGGAAGGGCCGGCAGCAGGGCTACCACCTCCAGATGGAGCTGGCCACCGAGGCCGGACCAGGCCGCGAAGATGACGGAGGGGAGGGAGACGCTGGCAACGGTAACAAACACATGAAATTAAAATTTACAGCTTTGATTGTGTAGACTCAACACTACAGGAAAAGCATGTCACTTTCCTTTGCAGGGCCTTTACCTCTGACTGTTTTAATGGCAGAAATAAAAGAGCTGCAGTTTGTTGTAGAAACTGTTAGATAAGAGCATCTCTTAAATGCCACAGTGTAAAAATTTAAGTGTAGGTATCGTCTCAGGAGTAACTGCCCAAGATTATTTCTGCCGCTAAAAAGAGCCTTAAACTCACAGCAACTGATACAAGCCTAGTTTCCATAGTAACACTAGCTCCCTGTACACTGACACGGCTTGTAATTAAGAGGGTGTTTGTTGACTTGGCAATGTGGCCCTCACGACAAAGAGGTAATTTCCAAAGGTAAAGCCTGGTGACAAGCCTTGATATCCATTAGGTGTTTAGTGGCAGCTGGTATTGTGTGTGTGTGGATGAGGAGGGTGACTCCAGGTGATGTAATAATACATGTGATGTCTGTAGCCAGGGCTATAGAACAACAAACAGCTACAACAACATCACTAAGGCAGTGGCTGGACAACAAAGTGTTCTGTTGGCTTGTGATCAGAGGACATTATTGTTTAACAAGTTTGAAAGATGGAAGGTTGATCCAAGCTACAGAGATAGCATTGAAGGACATTTTATGAGGACATTGGGTGTCTTTAGATGTGACATGTTAATTTATAAACGATGAGATTTAGTTAAGTTATTTTTTATTATGTGTAGTTATATATTGCTGCAGCAATTTCACTTCTGGTCAAAAAAGTATTGTGGCATACTGCATGTGCTTTACTATATGTTCATAATGTCTGTCTTGTGTGTGTGTTTGCAGCTGGTTGCAATAGGAAAGACAAATCCCTGCGCATCATGAGCCAGAAGTTTGTTATGCTTTTCCTGGTGTCCAAAACTCAGACTGTCACCCTGGATGCAGCAGCAAAGATCCTCATCGAGGAGAGTCAGGACTCATCAAGTCACAGCAAGTACAAGAGTAAGACGGCAAACAGAACAGCAACACGTCGTGCTAATCAAACTGTATTTGTTCTGTTTTATCAAAATTAAACTTTCAATCTCTGTATCTTCAGCAAAAGTGCGGCGCCTGTACGACATTGCCAACGTGCTGACCAGCCTGGGCCTCATAAAGAAGGTTCATGTCAGAGAGGAGAGAGGCAGGAAACCAGCCTTCAAGTGGCTCGGCCCAGTTGAATTCAGCAACTCTGGAAATGCAGGTGAGAATTAAAGACAAGCCTAGTCAGCTAAACTTTCTGAACCTGAAGACACTTCTGAGTTCTTTCCAAGACTCCTGGTGCATCATGCCTCTGAAGTGTTTTGGATCAAAGAGTCACTGATGCTGCCTCAGTTCTCATGCATCTCATTATCATCATCTGTAGGAAACACTTTGAATGTAGCAGCCATCACTCCACCTGACCCCAGTGCACGGCCAGTGACATGCCAGGACCTCAGAAAGGCAAAGATGGCACGTCATGCCTCATTCAACATCACACCAACTTCTGTTGCCATCCAGCGGCAGGTCAGCTCTGCTCCCAGCAGCCCACGACGTGAACTAACGGGTAAGAGACACTCACGTGTCGTTGTACATGTCATTGTTTGTTATTTAAAATAGAAAGGTTAGTGACAGCAGACCATTTTGAATATTCTTCTGACAGCGTTTTGTTCCTCAAACACAGGTCTGCCAAACCACCCTGTGGACTATTCCAGGAAGGCCATGAGCAGCAGCACAGTCTGTCAGCTGCAGTTTGGAAACAGGACTGAGTGAGTTAAAACCAACACACATACGCAGATACTCAACACTCTCTGTAATCCCTCTCCCATTCACTGGATTTCATTTTATCTGCAGTCATCCACCACAGATTTACTGCCACAGAATTTACAGCAAGCAGTAGCTCTTTCTGCTAACCTTTGCCAGCACAGACTATCAGTATTATTGATGAAGAGAATCCACATCAGCTGCCTGTAACAAGGTTAAAGGTTCCTTTTTCATCTCAGACAGAGCAATTTTCTAGCTAAAGTTGCACAGTTACAGCCAAATGGTTCTCAGTTTGTACACATTAGACACTGAAAGCTGTTTCTTTTGTCAAGTGAAGATGCTATGACCCTTCCCCGTGTTCAATCTCGTTTTAATCTTCTGTATTCCATAATATTTTACACTGAGTGCCGGTGTTTATACTGGCAGATGTGTTCAGCTTTAGGCTACATGTAACAGGATCTGACTGCAGTGGATATGAATAGTTTTTGTCTCCTGTGAGTGTATTTGTTGGCTCCATAGATGGAGTACACAGTAGTTCTTGTTATTTCCCGTCATGTGGTTGGCCTGCTTGTGGTCAAACCTCAGCTGCCTCAAGGCTGTGGCTGTTAAGTGTTTTTGGAGGGAGAAAGCTAATAAGACATGAAAGTGTGTGTTGAAAAGGAATATTTTAGACGGGAAGCTAGGCAAAAATGCACTAGGGGCAGTGGTAGGCCACAGGATAAGAGCTGAAGGTTTATGGCTGACGGGAGGCCAGTTCAAAATCTGCACATCAGCAAGAGAGATCACAGGGACATAGAGTCATTTTAGTAACACAGCATCTTTTCCAAGGGTTCAGGGACGAGCTCACGAACGTCACTTACATTTAGTCAAGATTTAGACAAGAAGTTCGTCTATACTGAAACCCGGTGGAGGTTGTGGATCTTACAGCTGCTACATTTATGTGACCAGTTTCATTCAATAGGTGCCACTGGTATTACTGCTAGCAACAGGTTCAGATGGGGACGACAATGTTGTGCCATTAAAGTCAGTCTAAAGCAGTAATATATGTGTTCTGAGTTCACCACACCACAGAAACCTGACTTATGGCCTACCTGGCTAAATGAACTGTACTAATGAACAGCAGTTAGTTTTAACTAAATAAGTTAGATGTTAGATTTGAAATCACAACCAAGCCCTGCCGATGATACAAGCAGGTTCCCGCGTAAAGGCCGGGGATGGAGATAGTCGATTTAGTAGCATTCACGAGCAGATTATCAGTGAATTACAGATGTCGGCTATGAAAGTTAGGGGCAAAGTATGGCTTCATGCAACAACTGCTGATTACAAAAATGATGAAAAGCAGTTGTCAGTACTACATTGCTCAGTGTTTTCCAACATTTTCAGAATTTTTCTGACATGTATGACGTGTTTAAAAATCTCATTTAAATAGACTTTAAAGGGGTGAGTGGTGATGCGAGACAAAGTAAAAGAGAAAAGTTTAATTCATCTCATAGAATGATCACAAAACACTTATCTACAAATCATCAGTTTTTGATTCTGCATGTCTACTTTAAACTGATTCAGTTCATCCATTCAAACGTTTACAACACAGTAAATGTAAAGAATGTGTGACTGTCCTGTCAGCTTCTTGAGAAACTTGTGCCACACACATAATGCTGTCATTTGGTTTGCAATGTATTGATGAGGTGGAAACAAACAGGAATACATTAGGGCGACTTCCTCAATTCCAAGAGCTATTTGATGTAAACGTTGTGACTGGTGAACAGTGTTTTATGCAGAGCACAGGAGAAGGTGAGGTGAGAAGTTTGCATGGAACTTCTCAGCATGAAAAAGTTCAAACTTGTTTAAAACTTAAGCGACATGCTGTCACTGAAAGACCAACTCCAACTCAAGCAGAGAATTAAATCTTCAAGCTCAAAACTGACTCATGTGTTGCCTTTTTTCTTGTTTCTCTTCAGAAACCATCCCAGCGCACCACTGCAGAGTAACATCTCACACAGCAGCAGCAGCAACAGCAGTTCCCTTCCCCCAGCTTCCAGCCATCCCACCCTTCTGGCACCTCACCTCCACCCCGAGCCTCTTTTCACCTCCTCTCCTTCTCCCCATTGCTTGGCCTACCTTCCCAGCCTGTCCCAGCCCTCTGTTGTTATGCTGTTCAGGACGCCAGACAAGCCCGACCAGATCCCCGAAGGACAGAGGTCACCCAGGTCGGACTCTGTCGACGGGAGGAAGAGAAAGAGGGATGAGAGTGAGGAGGCGGAGATGGTGAAAAAGCAGGAGATTTCTGGGTTAGAGGACCGTGACAAGGTGAGGAGGTGTTGTATGATGATGTGTTCAGATATGTTCCAGAAAAAAAAATGAAGTCCTCATTATTCATTGTTCTTGTTCCAGTGAAAATTGACTTGGAACAACATTATTATTTGGTTGAGTGCAGCACTATGATTGCATGCTGTCTTTTTTTTTTTTTCTCTGTAGTTGTGCATCCACAATCAGAAGATCCGGCTAGCAATTATCGATAGCAGACAGTTAAATGGAAAATATTAAATACGACATGCTCGCTGATCGGTATAACTCGTCTCTGGTGTAATTACAGAATTCTCATATTGATGATGAATAGGAGGTCTGATAATTGGGAAAACCCAGTGCAGTAAATCAGACTACATAATCCCAGTAATTGGAAAGTCCCATTTCTCATGATAAGATGGTCTTTCCAAAGGTAGATTTGGAAAGTAGACTAGAAGGACTACACTTTTACATCAGGAAGATGACTTGGCACAAGTTAGCATCAGAGTCACTGGAAGGGACGAGTGTTCATCAGCATAGTAATCATTTTTGAGCTTCAATCGAAATGCAGAATTTTAAGGGAACAATATAAAATGTTCATCCCATTGGCACTGCAATAAAATGAGTTATTTGCACATCTGTTTTCTATTTCCATCAGTCAGTCCACTTCAATTCACTCCCAGTGGTTGTTTCTCTTTCCAGATGAGAGCTGGACCTCAAAGAGAAGCGTCAGAGTGTTCACAGACGGTTGATACCAGGACCCCCCCTAGTCGCCCTGCAGGCCTCTCCAGAGAGCAGGTGTTCAGTGAGAACAGCAGCAGTGAGCACGCCCAGCCATCACACTACCTCTACGTACCCAATAATGCAGGTAATGTAGAACTTTCTAAAAACCCAGTGTACACAGGGAAACGTCCAAACAGTTTGAGTTGAGTTTAGCAGGACACAGAGTCTGATGTTAATGGATATATTAATGGAAATATGGCTTTCATGTGTGAAGAAAAAGAGCATGTAACACCAAGGACTTACAACACTGAGCTGCACCTTTATATTTAGTTTAAATTGGCATATTGGTTGAAATTGATTAAATTTCAACTTGAAGTGAGTGGATATTCTAAGAGTGTTGAAATTCTTTACAAAATAATTTGGAGAACATGCTTTCTGTGAAATATTAAAGTATGGAAAAATATGTTTTCACTACTTGAAGTCTCAAAAAATGATATGGGACGCCGCTATAGCTCACCTGGTTGAGCTGGTGTCCCATGTGCAGGGCTACAGTCCCAATATGGAGGTCATGAGTTCGAATCCCGCTCATGACCCTTTCCCACATGTCCTCCCCCCATTCTTCTCCCCTACTTTCCTGTCTCTCTCTGACTACACTATCAAATAAAGGCACAAAGGCCAAAAAAATATGACATGATACAATAATTAGTAAAACTGAAATCTACAGCACCTCTCACCAGTTCTCCCGTTCTGTCTTATCCAGGTCTAAACAGCCTCAACTTCCTCCTGTCAGCCGGACAGCCACCAGCCAGTCTCACACTTCCTCCCAGCAGCGTTCCCGCCTTGGCGCTACCTTATGTCCTGGTGCCCTCTGCGGCTCTCCCCCACTACCCCCTGGTCACCAGTAGTCTTCAGCAGCAAGGCTCTGATGCTCACACGAAACTGAGCTTCAGTTTGCCTGCCATGATGTCACCTGCCCACTTTATGGTGGGGGCAGCACCTTACAGTGTAGCAGCAGCATCAGACCTCAGCCGGTCACCGGTTCCATCACCGTCTACTCCAGAACAGAGCAGGCTCTACGGGTCGGCGGCCGGCACGCCGCGTTCTCCCTCAGGACCACGACAGTCAGTCAGCATTAACACATCAGAACCACTGGTAAGAAATAACTGGACTGTTGCAGCAATGCACACACATACACACAGCTGCCTGCTCCAAAAAAAAATAACTAACATAAACATAATTGGTCTTCAAAATGATATGTGACCTTTCTGGTATCAGGCACTTGCAAAATGCCACAACACAGCTTGACATGCGAGCCACTGCAGCATCTGTTCTGTGGACGGTTTCCCCTCATTTACTCATCAGAGACACTTTTGATCTGTCACAGCTGATTAATCTCCAACTTGGTAAATGGGGATCAATGTCCTTGTCGGCAGAGCCCAATATAGCTCTGCTGGTGTTGCTCATCTCAGATGGAGTAGCTGGATGCGTTGCTGGATGAAAAATTAATGCAGCATTATAAACAACAGGACAAGTCAATGACCACGCTGGGATGAGCCATTAATCATGGGAGATCTCTCTTCCCCACCCACTCTCCCTTCTAATATGAAGTAATGCTTTAACCTCTCCTTGTAGAGCTGAAATGATTTGTTAGTGGACTGAAAACTGGCAACAGCTAGTGCTCAACATTCACAGGTTCCAGCTCATGAGTCCAGTGATGTAAGGATGATTCTTGTAGTTGTATCATTGCAAATCTCTAACCGATGTAAGTGGTCTTTTTCTACGCACGGGTTTATGTGTATATGTGTCACACAAACTGTGGCTTGGAAAGACAATGCACTAACACGCAGATTAGTGTTTTCTGCTTTTTTGTGTGTTTTTTGACTTTCCAAAGTTCATCAGGATTTTATATTTGTTCATCCTGGTCACAGTCTTGTAAGGTGTGAGCAGAAACCAACTTTGCCCTTCTAGAGTCTACAGATACAGTTTTAAAGTTTTGGATATTGAACATAAGAACCCTGAGATACGTCATCATGCCATCTGGTCCACAGTGACATGAATTAAGGCCAGTGTGATTGAAGCAGAAGCTGTGTTCTCCAAAAAAAAAAGTTGAGAAATGTAAATGTTGTCAAAACTTAGATTCCTCTCTCGCTCTCTCTTCACAGACTCCTCATACCCCTAAAGAACCCACAGTGTCTTCTTCAAAGGCTTTCTTCCAAACCCCAGGCACTCTGGGAAGTGTAGTCAGTGCCGCACCGGCTGCACGAAAAAGAGGTTCGGCACAGAGGAGATTGGACATTGGCCACCCTCCAGCTATATGAAGAAACGGGAACTCGTGTTAACATGCTGTCTTTGACACTCAGGCGTCGATCCTAAAATGGAAAAGTATGGTTTCAAACCTTTGGTGCTTTATTTTCATAGTGATGAATTCAAAAGATGAAACACTGTTGGAAAGTAGAGATGTTTAGGTGTGTCACGTTTTGCTAACGACTGTCAGTTCTCACTAAATGAAACCGTTATTTGTGAGCAATGTTAACAGTTCGGAAGTGCCTCATGGTTAAATTATGGGACACTCGATTTCAGAGCAGACGACTGAAGCAGTATTGCCAATGTAACAGTGCCCTCCTGTGGTGGGAGTTGGCCACTGCTGTGTTTTGCATTTCAGCCTTAATTTTCTCTCCCAGATATGATCACGGTACCCAATCCCCCCACTGTTTGTGTATTATAGCCCAATTGCTATTTATATTTTAGCTAATATATGTTGATTACAGGGACTGTAATGGAAAGTTAATGTTTCTTTTAGCACTAAAGTGATGAATGTATGTTGTCTAATCTTGATGTAATTGTTTTTAATCTGCCCCCTTTCAGATTTTGTTGCATTATCAGGGTGTGATAGGAAATCTGTTAGCTGCTCAACACCAATTTACAACAGTGGTAGGACAATCCTCCCTTAGCTCATTTCAAAACGTTACTGTGAGGAAAAAAAAATCACTAAAGCCTTAAATGTTTACAGCCAGAGAAGTATCTAAAAGGAACAGTTTTTTCATGTCTCGGTGCACGACAGATGCATTAATTTACTCGTCAGGAAGACAAATGTTACTGGTACTGTGTGCGTTTTCACTGAGAATTATTAACCATAGTGCTTTATGGTTAAACACCAAACCCTGGCGCTGTTACAGGTGACGTAAGGACAATGTGACAATGCTCTCAGGTACTTGAATACTAGTGACTAGAATGGGAGTTTGGAGAAATATCAGAGTACTGTAAAGTTTTTTTCTCTTTGTTTATCCGGGGCGAGCAGACTGAGCTTATGTTGCTTATGTTTTCTTAACACTCTTTGACATTCGTACAGTCCAGCACGTTGGGGGAAGGTGCCCACAATGTGCCGCTGGGGGTTAAGTGCCTTGCTTAAAGGCACCTTATTGAGAGAGTGTTGTTGCCTCAAAACAGATCTTCTCAGGTTGTCCAGGAAATTGCATCAACAACCTTCTAGTCATAAGCCCAAGTTTGTTTGTTTTTTTGCTTCTAGACAACCCAGCTGAAATATGGGTGCTTTGTACAGGAATCATTCAGGAGAGCTTAGCGATGTCACGCCAAAGGGTATACAGATAATTCACTGACCAGTGGATGTGTAGTCGTAACGTTTTAAGTCAGTTGTTTTTTCTTACGTTGTATTCATAGTGTCATTTACAACCTTTACATGCAGACTGTTATTGCTGCTTTCCTGTTACGTAATAATTAATGCACTGTAAGTAGTTATATCCGCTGAAAACCTGTTGTTTCCTCACTGTAGCTCTTTCCGTAGTTCTGTAGGGTTTTTGTTTTTTTTTTTTTCCTGTGCAACTTTCACAAACTATTAAAGAAATGTATGGTGCCGACAAGTATTGAGTTGTGTTATTTAATTTGAGGAATTTGTAACTATTTACACAAGGTATGTCTCATTTTAAAACATACGTGTTGACCCACCAGTTTATTTTGAGCATAAATCAGAAATAGAATGTCTTAATAATTATAGCATGCATTTTATAAAACAGGGCTGCACGGTGGGTCAGTGGTTAGCACCGTTGCCTCACAGCAAGAAGGTCGCCGGTTCGCCTCCCGGTGAGGAGACCCGGAATCTTTCTGCTTGGAGTCTCCATGTTCTCCCCGTGCAGTGTGGGTTCTCTCCGGGTTCTCCGGCTTCTTCCCACACAGTCCAGAAACATGCTGAGGTTAATTGGTGATTCTAAATTGTCCGTAGGTGTGAATGTGAGTGTGCTTGGTTGTCTGTCTCTAAGTGTAGCCCTGTGATAGACTGGTTACCTGTCCAGGTGAACCTGTCTTCACCCTGAGTCAGCTGGGATAGACTCCAGCCCCCCCACGACCCTAAGCGGTGTATAGATGATGGATGGATTTTACTAAATGGTGGAGAAAGAAAATACTAAGCTAACAATCCAAATGTTGAGAGATTTGCAGATGGCTTCAGTTTACCAATTTACAAATGTGCAGATGCCACAAATATTTGAGAGTCTCATTCAAACTGGCCCAGCAGATGGAAACAAGTGATGCTCGTGTGGTCAGATGGCACTCTTCATCTGCAACACAACTCCTGTTGTTGCAAACAACTGCGAACACTTCAACATTAGATGGATACGATGATCAGGGTGAAACCACAGCATCATAACAAGGGCTATTACAAACAACGATTCGAATGTCAGTCATCAAAATGGTGGCGAAAACTCAAATTACACATGAAATAAACACATCTGTAAGGTGATGAATGGAATTCCGCTGCTGGATAACACATTAAACACATCAAGTGTGATCTCCGGGTCACATCAGGCTGACTGAGTCGCAATTAAAACACACACACACCATCTGTCGGAAGACATAAACACCGAGCTATCAAAGCTTTATATCAGCACTAAAAGTGAGCCGAGGGAGCTGCCAGTGGATCTCTGTGGCCCCTGCGAGCCATTTATGACACTAAACCTCAGCAGATGGAACAATTAACTTTATATAGACAGATAGTTTAGCCAAGTATCATCTGTGGCCAAAATAACACTTAAATGAATACGCAACAGTGTACCTGAGGCAAAACAAAACAATTAGCTTTCAAACAGACCTCCACGACTGACTTTCCTACCACGCTGGTCAGTGTTGCAATGAGAACTGAAAAAAATTAAGACCACTACATCGGAACGGCTGCTACTGCTGCTGTCTGATCTGTTTGCCTATGCATAGAGGAATCAAGGTGTCATCTTTGATCCAGATTAACTCTGTGGTGAAAGGATGGGAAAACACATTGTCTGTCTGAATGAGACTGTAACCATTGCATTCATTTCCTAAAGGCTATATGACTTGAACTCTCTGTGTCTGGGCCAGTCTTCACTTCACTACACCTGTGATGATACCAAACACATTTTTAATCTTTATCCTGCCGTTCAAATAACAACAATAAATCAATGGCCTAGCCCTTTAATAAGCTTAATAGAACACATGTGACTGATTTATAGGGTACATGCTTGCGTGCTTTCTGCAACAAACATTAAAAGACTTTAAAACGCATGTCCACCATCAGCCAATCGTCTTCCAGAGACAGGCCTGAACATAAACTGGAAGCATCCGAAAGGTTTAAAGATTTATTATGCGCTGGGTTATAAAAACAACCAAATGTCGTGCATGATTTGATTAGCATACTGTTGCATATTCTGGCAATGGGGTCTGCTGGAATATGCACCCCTCTCTATTTCTGACCCCGAAGGACTTAAAGCCACCAAATTCACAACATTTATTGATGATCGTGGTCTGAGCATAAGCTGAAAAGTTAGGGACAGAGTTACTGGTGGAGGGGGTGCACATTCCGGCAGACCCCACTGCCAGAATATGCGCTCCTTGAGAGGGGGATGCTTTTTCCGGCACAGAACCGGAATGTTAATGTAAAAGAAATTTAAATAAATATCTGGCTCCAGAGTTGTCATTGTGTACCGCCTCTTTTCAACCTTCCACACTTTCCTGTTGGACATCTCGTGCCCACAAAGTCCACAACATGTGATCCATTCATATTTTACCTGATAATAACACAAGCATGTTAAATACACAGTTTGTCCAAATGCAAGTTTTAGCAACCAAGGAATTATCATTATATTTGTAATAATTAGCACTTTGGGTGGAATAAACCTTTAAAATCTTAACTTGTTTGTTTAAAAATGCTCTTCTTAAATTGTAAGTATATTTTGAGTGAAGTCACCCTTTAAAACTACGTCGCGCACCCCAACTAGAAGCCGTGCACTTATAGGGCCGTAGAAGACGAGTACAGCCCTCCACGTGCAGCCCTCCAGGAGCAGCCCTGTACGTGCGGTCTCCGGCTCTGCAGACACACACTATTGCCTGAACTAGGAAACAGATCCATGTGTCAGCAGCTACGTTGAGTCAGAGACAGTTTGGAGCGTCATGACGGTGGTTAGGTCACCATGGTAACCAGAGCGGCCGTTGGCATCGGCAGTCCAGGCAAACGCTCAGTGCGACGACATCCACGGAGGGGCGCCCCAAGCGGAGGAGTGGCAGTGGCCGGAACGTACAGGCAGTGTTTGATTGATTTATACACGGAGTTATTGAAAGAGTCTGTCAGGGAAAGAAAGAAGAGGAAGAAAAAGAAGGCAGAGGTAGGAC